CCCAAAAGATTTTTCAAATTAGATACACTTAAATTAGTGAAATACTTTAAATAAAATTTTTCTCTTCATTTATTCATTAATGTCAAAGACTACAAAAAATAAAATAAAATGTCTTAATAATTACTAAAAAGGAATTTTTTAAAATTTTACCTTAAAAAAGTATAAGTTAATAGTGCATTTATTCTATATTTTTATTATTAATTTAGATGAAAAGTAAAAAATTAACTTTAATCTTAGAAATTATTTAATTAAAATATTCTACATGATATTAATATTAAAAATAAAATTTATTTTTATAATTTTTTATATAAATTAATAATAAAAAATACAATAAATACACACTTAATCTATACTTTTTAAAATACAAGTTAAATAATACCTTATTAAAATACTTTTAAAAATAATAATACAAAATTTTAAATATTATTTTTCAACTGACAATTAAAGATATTTAAACAATTCAATCTTAACTTTTAAATACAATATTAAAACTTTCTAACTTTTTTTTTTTCTTAATACCATGATACTAAAAAAACACGTAAAAAATTAAAATATCTTCATATTAAAATTATCAAGTTATCCAATCATAATTATTATTTAAGTAAAATGTGATTATCATTTGAATAAAATCGTGGGAATATTAACATGAAGAGGTTTTAATTTTCACTTTTTTTTATACTTAATTTAATAATTTATGTCCTGACTTTATATTAAAAAGAAAAAAATTTCTGTCCGGAGTAAAAAATAAAATATGAACTCCCGTCTCACACCTAAGTACAGCCGAACCTGAAAAAGGTGTTCTGATATTCATCGTCGCTGATCTCTTGTTACCGGCCGGCAGCTCGGCTTTCCATTGCAGGCACAAACGCCGCTGCGGCATCCTTTTTCTTCCAGCTGTACGGCAGTAGCCAAGATGGTAGGGTTCTTTCTGAGAAATGGTGGCATATGGCTCTAAGCTCTGACAAGTCAGACGATTCTTGCACCGACAATCGTTTCTCGAGCACCCTCCAAGGTTGAATTCTCTTCCTATGTTATACTCACGTTGATTTATGATTAAAGATCCTGTCATTTCTCCGGATAACTGTTGATATGTACAAAATTATTTTGATTTGAGCTAAGAACTAGGATTCTGATATAAACTCAGTGCTTTGGTTATTGATTCAACTTTAGGGTTTCAAACTTTCAAATTGATTTGTTTTTAGGTTTAATACCTCGGTCCATAATTATTAATTTTTTTGGTTCTTAAGATTTGCTCTACATTGTGAGGGGAAAGGGAAAAATGGGAGTAATCAGTAATGTAGATGTTTTCTATTGAGTTGATGGTATACATATAGATATCATTTCTATCTATGAATGATTTAGGACATAAAGATGCTTTTGTTCTTGTTATAAAATGCAAAGCCTGAGGCTTTGAATTCCATATCAAGCAATGAAACTGGGAAGGTAAATGGAAATTATGTGATTTATGAACTTTTTTCATATTGTTATATAGGATCCCAAATAAGTTGTGTTAAAGCTGAGGCTAGGCAAACACTTTGATCTTGAAAACAAATTAAACTGCACTCTTGCACAAAAATAAAAAATATCTTGCAAGAAATGTTATACTTCTTTGTTTAAATGTCCAAGATCATTTGTCCAGCGGATGCTTTAATTACTTGAATTTTTATAGGTTTTTTTTCCTTTTTTGAAGAATATTGTTTTTCAAAGTTTTAGTTTTTTAAGTTGAATTTCAGTTGTCTGCTAGTTTTACTGCATCTACTTTGTCCTTGCCTATGTGACTTTCAACATGTTCTCAGTGGCTGATTGAATCCTTACAAATTTCCGTTTAAATTTTTACTTAAAAATCGTTGCCCCTTTATGTTCTGATGTTGACATGTATTTGGTGTGCAGTTGTATACTTGTGTTTCCAGATGAATGTGGAAGAGGTTAAAGAGTGGTTTTTGACATACAAAGTGAGGAATACCCGTCAGACTTTTTAATCCTTTCTGCTAATTGTTCCCAAACACTATAACATCCCCTTCAAGCCCAACACAGAAGAACCCAAGAGATCATTTCAGTAAAACCAACTTTGTAAGAGCCTTATTCTTCCGACCTTCCAATATTATCTTGAGATTGCCCTAAAGCCATCGTAGAGACCAAAAGGTAGGATGTCAGAAAGACATGAGTCACATGACATGGAGACTAAAGTAGCAGCCCTTCACCAAGAGAAGCTACAGTATCCCCCACAATCCTCCTCACTGTCCTTTATCCTCATAGTATTTTCCAATTCCCTCAAAGTCCTCCTTCAAAGCTGGTACATTTTCCTTCTAATCTTCCTCTCCCTTACTCTTCCAGTTTCTTTCCTTATCTTCTCTCTGTCCTTGTCTTCCTATCCATCCAAGCACCATATACTCTATCTTGAATCCCTTGCTTTACACTCCCCAACCCATCTTGAGGCTAGCCAAGTCTGGCAGGAATCCCGTGAAGAAACTCTCTACCTTCTCCGCCTCAAATTCTTCTATTCCTTACCTATTTTCCTCCTCTCACTCCTCACCTCCATCTGCTCTGTGCACTCCACCTTCCTCTACCTCTCACTTACACGACCTTCCCTCTCCTCTGCTGTTGCAGCAATCAAGCCCAATTGGAAGCGTGCCGTAGTCACATCCTTTTGTTCCTATATTCTCTTCCTCCTGTCCAGTCAGGGACTGCCACTCTTAGCAGCAGCCTTCTACATCCATGCAGAATTGAGGTTGCTGATTTTGTTGATTGGCTTCTGTTTTGAAGTTTACCTGATGGCAGTTTTGGGGATGGGGCTGGTGGTTTCAGTCTTGGAGGACAGATTTGGATGGGATGCAATCCGAGTGGGTTCACGGCTGATGGAAGGGAGGAGGACATGTGGGTGGGTAATTTCGGCTGTATTTGTGGCATTGTCTAGCTCTATTGGGAGGGCGTTTAGGGCATTGACTGACGGCAAGGAATTCAGAGGTGGGTGGGCAATGTTGGTGACAATTATGAAATGGAGAGCGGGGGCGCTGGTATGTTTGTATGGTTTGATAGTGCTCTGGAGTTATGTTGTTACCACAGCTTTTTACACGGAGTGTAGGAAACGTCATTGTTATTATAACGTAAGAGGTGAGAATGAGAACTGATACATGGTTCAAGGATGCTGGAGCTATGGTATGAAAGCTGAAAATGCAATGAAATGGGAGCTGCTAAATGATGCTGCAACATGACCACACAGTAGCAGCAAAGTGACAGCAGCAGCAAAGTGACAGCAGCATGGAGCTGCACACGAGCTACAAGAAATGGCAGCAAACTTCAACATTTTAGTTAATGTTTTAGGTAATTAATAATTATTGTATTAGGTAAAAAAACATTATTTTGTGTAGCCTTCTTCCGTAAAAAGGAAGACATGGAATGAAAATTGAGTAAGCGAAAGCATGCTTTCTCTTCCTGCGGTTGGTTTCTGTACCCTTCCATGTTTATGACTTTATGTTCTAATGTTCTCTATCATGTTCTAAGTTCTACTCTTCTCCTAGTCTCCTGCAAATCCTTTCTCAACCCCTTCTTACCTCAAAACTCTAACGAAGGAAAATTAGCATCTCTGTTTCTTTTGATCCTGAGCAGAACAACTTGCTTTTTCTCTTTTCATTTTCTCCATTCGCAACACATTCACAACACATTCTACTGGATTCCATTCTTGAACATTTAATTTTTTGGAAATTTCCAGAACAATTTTTTTTTTTTTTTTTACAACGTATAAGTGGCAAAATAGCATCACCGGTCGAGCGAATCCGGCCTCGAAAACCTTTCTTGGAGAAGCGTATGTCGAACTCAATACAGCTACAGTACAGAGATATGTTAACGAATTATCAACTTGTCAGTACGAGTACATGAGTAGCCACATTAAGTAAATTTCACAAGAAACAAGAAATTCATACAGGATGTAGCATCAACAATTTGATAATCTTACAGATATTATTTCAGCTAAATAGTTCAAGAATGGATCTCTAGGAAAATTTCCGCAAACCACCAGACTTAACGTACAAAGAAGTGGATGATCGCAAACCAATAATCGGCCAACTGAACAAAAAAATACCATGGCTTTGGTGAGCTATTCAAGGATCCAACCAAACTGGGAAGGAATTAATGATTATTATGTTTTCTCTAGAAAGGGAAAATGAGTGAATAACTTTACCTGTTGTAGAATGCCTTTTCCGGACTGACCTTCAATAACTAAGCCTGCTGTGAGTCCAATCATTGCAAATGCTCCATTAATTGCTTCAATTTGGCGTCGTCTCTAGAACAGCAACAGCCAATAGCAAGTGTTATTTATGCAAAGAATGTGTTCAACAGTATCCCCCAGCCCCGGCCTAATGGCTAAAGCCATTAGGTAGTGGGGATCAACTCTGTGGGTTGCATCTTCGAACCCCATGGATCCCCTTTCCCCATTCCCCATATACCTAAAATATGTACTAATCACCCTCTTTCAAAAAAAAAAAAAGAGAATGTGTACAACAGAATCACACAACACAGAAGAAGTAATAATGTCTTGTTTGCTGTGAAACAAAATTACACTGCAGATGCTCTTCTAGCATTTCTAACAAGAAAACTCTGAAGTCCACAAAAACTGAATAAAAAACATGCAGAATAACTCTTAGTAGATAGAATAAGCAATAGCTCATCAGGACATAATATAGCATACACATCTAATGTAGTGGACAAACCTATCTCAGAGTTTCTACCTCATTTTTCCATACTTAACCCCAAAGGTGCATTCACTAAAAAGTGGAAGATGAAAATTCTCATTTGTTTTGCTTAATATGCAATTAAAAATTTAAAGGAACTTTAAATATTGTAGATTTCCGTTTTTATTTTTAATTATTTGTCTTCTTCACAGCCAGCAGAAGGTTCACCTGGCTAAACCATATATGCAAAAAGTTTGTTCACTCTCATTATAAGTGATTAGAATTATAAAAGCTTTCTACCTTCAACTTCTCTCTCGCTTTAATTTGCTCCATCTGCTTTGCAGCTAATCGTTTGGCTTCCAAAGGGTCAACCATGGTCACGTTATTAGGTGAATCTCCTTTCCCTGAAGAAACCTACATGAGAATCAAAACAAGAAGAAAACACGTGACAAGCTAAAGAATTTCCTATAATCAAATCACAAACAGATTTCACTTGCTAAGTAGACTGAATAAGGAAAAATGGGAAATAGAAATATTACAACACAAACAAATTACAAGTTGATTAGAATACAAAATTCCTCGCAATAATAAATTAAAATATTTTTAAAAAAAATCAAAAGCAACTAACTTTAAAATTAGGAACTCTTAACAAATTACCTCACTAGTTTGGATGATAAATTAATAGCCAAAAAGAAAAATTCACAAAAAATTGTGGATATCAAACCAACTATTAACTACATCAACTATCCACTGCTATCTGCTAAGATTGGGTGATGAATGCTAAGCACAAATTAAGCAGATGAAACTAGATAAGTTTGCTTCATGACGGTGCTCATCTACCCATCTCTAAACTTTAGCATTAGAAAAGAGATAATTTGACATACATTGGGAAGTAATTACATTAGGATGATGTCAATTATATTATACCAAATAACTAAACTCAATTAGTCTGCAGTCTGCTCATAGATTTGCTCTATCAAGAAAGCAATTAAATTGTTACGACTATGTGAACCAACATATATCTAGACTTGTAAGATTTTAGCACTTTTAACACTTTGAATAGCTTATTGACTAAATCATCAGTGACATACCTACAAAACCTTTGATCATAATCAAACCAAATATACTGGCATTAAACATGAGGAAGCCCTGGGTTGTTCATACATTAGGATTGGCCAAGATTCGAAATGCTTGACCCTTGGTTCTACTGATATTTAGACTAGCATCTTGATTTTTTCGAAATCCCCAACTGCAGAGAAAGGGAAAAAAGAATTAGAATTTCAAGATCTTCTCCTATTTTCTTACCTCTGAATCTTTTATCATGCATTGCAAATTAGAAGAATAAGTGGAAAAATAACTACTTCTGCAAACCCCAACAAAGTCCATACCCTCTAGAAAAGAGGTTGTTAAAGATGGATCAAATTTGTGGTGGAAAGCATTGCTTTTCTTACTGAGGAAATAAATTAAGTAACTATAGGAAAAACCCATCTGAATTCATTCTTTTTCCTTCACAAATTTTATTTTTCCTTCATTGGATGTGAGTTTCCCAGCAACCAAACGGAGGTTGAGGAAGCAGAAGGAAAACGCTAGAATATACGCGAACTGGGTCGCAGAAAAAATCGAAGAGAACTTACTTGATAATGGAAGCAGAGCAATGATGAGAAGAGAAGAGGAGATTCGCATTGAAGAAGGGTTGCGGTTGTATAGACATCGACATGGCTGCCATATCTGCTGGGCTTTCTTATTTGTTCTTCCCTATCCACTTTGTCGAAGTTCTATCCATGGAACCATAAGCATGTCTATATTTGTGGTTATTGCAGTTTACTCCATTTTATTTTGTATTTTGCACTTTAAAGTTTTAAAAAAAAAATTTTTATAAGAATGGTACATTAAAAATATAATTCACTTTAAATAAATAAATAAATATTTAAAAATATTTATTAAATTTATAAGATAAATTATATCTTTTAATACACAATTTATCTTATAAAATATAAATCTATAAAAGTTAAAATCAAGATTTTTTTTTTAATTTCAAGTTTATCCTTTTAAGAGTTCAATATCAAACTACAAAAAATTCATAATATATATATATATATATCAAATTACAAAACACCAATAATTAAATTGGAGTAGGGCTCCCTTAACAAATTGCAAAATCCTTTTATTTTATGAAAACACACTTAGAAATATCATAACTTGAATTAATACAAAGATTTTTTTCAAAGAAAACTAAATATAAAAAATAATCTTATATTTTACAACCTAGTACAATCATACTATATAACTCAATAAATAAGAGTCTCTTTCTTCAAGGAATATCTTCATCAATAAGTGGGAAAGATGTAAATTTGGTGTATCCTACTGTTCCTTGCAGCTCCACCTCTTCTTCGTATATATTTTTTATTATATTAACCCCTTGTTATTTAGAAACTACATTAGATTCAGATTAATTTGGAGGAAAATTGAATCAGACTCCATAAGAAGGAAAACTCTCTGATCGTTTGTTTTT